AAAATATAAGAAAAGACTGGTTTTGCTAATTTCAAATTAAATTTAAGTTCAAACACATGATTCTTCTTACTTCACTTCCTTTAACCGTTGACCAGAACATTCGCAAATTTGTAAATTTTTTTTTTTTTTTTTTTTAGTAGGGAGTGATTAATAATATTGGCGCACAATATAGCGAGTTACTACAAAAGCGATACAAGTATGAAAATAATACATGATCAAATTTGCCAAGTTTTTAATTAACTATTTCGATTTTTTTTTTATCGTAGATTATTAATTTTGGTAAATTTCACTTTGTCATTGAAACGAGAAATCTGAAAGAAAAGTCGCGTAGCTTCTTGTTACTTTAGGAAGAAAGGAAGCAGACAGTAAATTGATGAAAAAAAAAAAGCCGCCAAATTAAAATTAAAATTGTGTCAATCCGAGGGAACGAAATTTGAAAAACGAGGAACGAACGAGACTTGAGGAATTAACCTTTTTAGCTACGCGGTTGTAATCCCGATGATATTAGCATCGGGATCCGAATAAGTTGCGGTGCTTTTACAGTTTCCATTTCAAGAATATACAATGCGAAAAAATGCAAATTGAAGCGAACAAACGTTCCGCGACACGAGAAAAATAAGTTACAATGGCGTGTCGTTTATAAAGGAAGACTCAGCGGCGTATTGTTCGGAAAGATGACGTAGACGAAATCCACTATAACGGCGTACTATAATAGCCTAAAAGGTTAAACATCCGTGTTTTTAATACACGTGTATACGTCATCGTTATTGCACATTTTATCAGACGTGTTATAGCGCGTCTTTATGTACGTGCAAAGAATTCCCGGATATCACTGTGTTAGTATAATTTTTGTTGTGACGAAGATTTCCTTTTTCCATACGTATATTTTGCTCGCTGAAACCACCAAATTGAAAGTTCGCGCAAGGAGATTGAATTAAATGAAAGTTCGCGCGGATATTTTGACTACGAGTTTAACGTCGCGACAATGAAATTTCGTACTTTCCCAGCGATTTATAGTAAATTTCTTTAAATGTAATCGACGACAGGGCAAAATTTAATGGATGGACATTGACGCATCGAGATCAAACTTCAAAAAAAAAAAAAAAAAAAAAAAAAAAAAACTAAGAAACAAAAGCTGAGATGAGCGTTCAACTTGGTACAATTAGAAAGATAATTCCAAACTCCTGGCCAATAGCTTAAGTGTAGTACTAATCATCTGGAACAGCGAGTCATAGATCTCTGCCTTTCCTAGAAAATCTCGAAACACTGTTTCCTCCTCCAGGAACTTTTTAACAAAATAAACTCCCGCAATATCCGTTTGATCTCACCTGTCGAGCCAGGAGAACCACGAGAAACCAGCAAACAGCCTTCATGCTACTTCTTCGAGTTTTCAATCTCTCTCTTCAGACGCTTCTTCTTCTCTCGAAAGGAATTTATTCTCCAGCTTCGATAATATTTCCAGCAACGTCACAAGAATATAGTCTGATATATATATATATATATATATATATATATATATATATATATTTTGCCAAAAATTCCCCAAATGATATATCACGGAAAATCCACTGCGACGAGAGACTTCATACCGGTCGGTCTCGTTCGTTGAAAAATTACGCGAATCTGAGTCAGAGCGTGACCGAGTGGCAACTGGAGGATCGAACCGGTCCAGGCGAGTGCTCGTTCTTCGATTTTCCTCGGCATGGATCAAGGTTCGCGGCTGCCGACCGTCGTCACTGGCGGGACTGGCGACGACAAAAAAAAAAAAAAAAGAAGAAAGAAATTAAAAGAAGACTGGTAACGGTTCCAGAGTCGCACACGTGCATACGTTACAGGCTGTGTGTAAACCGAGCAAGGCAGAAGTGTTAATCGGGGAAGAAAAGAACGAGAGAGAAGCGCCGACTCGTTCGCGAACGTGGACGCGGACGCGTGACACTTGAATTAAGTTGCGATCGGTATGCGTGTCGCGTGTCCGTGAACCGAGTTTCGCTCTTCCGCTATGCGGCGACGTCGACGATCGTTCTCCTCTGGTTCCCGGTTTTTCCGCGCCGCGCCAACAACCACCGTTGGCTGGCTTTTGGCAATCTTCGGTCGAACAATTAGATTTGATTTAAATGGAAAAAATTACAAATACTTTGGATGGCTAGTAAGAAAGAAACTGCATATTTAATTGACACGAGCTTTTATTTTTTACACATTATGAACTATATATAAAAAGGAAAGAGTACAACAGTTCCAGATTGTGATTTCTGAAAATATTTTGTAGATTTACTTTTATTGATTTTGTATAATTTTCTGGAATCTTCTACAGTCGTGCGAGTTAGTTTTAATTACTAAAAGTATTGTGTATTCATCATTTTTTAATTTTACTGTTTATTATTTTACTATTTTGTGTTTTAGTTTCTGTGACCTTTCGGGATAAGGATTAGTTCTCGGTTACCAGAAATGTATGGAATATTTTATTATTGGATTTCCTTAGGATTTTTGAACCGTGAAAAAGATGAATGTTTACACAGTTGTAAAGGTTGTAGTTATTCAAGGATCATAGAGCCTCCAATTTTTGATTTTTGGTTTATTTTAACACATTATGAACTATATATAGAAAGCAACATTAAAAAGGAAAGAGTACAACAGTTCCAGGTTGTGATTTCTGAAAATATTTTGTAGATTTACTTTTATTTATTTTGTATAATTTTCTGGAATCTTCTACAGTCGTGCGAGTTATTTTTAATTACTAAAAGTATTGTGTATTCATCATTTTTCAATTTTACTGTCTTTATTATTTTACTATTTTGTGTTTTAGTTTCTGTGACCTTTCGGGTTAAGAATTAGTCCTCGGTTACCAGAAATGTATGGAATATTTTATTATTGGATTTCCTTAGTGAAAAAGATGAATGTTTACAGTTGCAAAGGTTGTAGTTATTCAAGGATCACAGAGCCTTCAATTTTTATTTTAATTTCGACTGTTTTACTACAAACAGGTCATTCGAAACATGATTGCAAGACGTCACGAGAGGACCAACCGTCGTCAGTTAATTCCACATCATCTTACGAAATATTAATTTCCAAAAAGACACATCTCCAAGAGGATAAAACGTCAAGTGACAATGCAACGTCCCACGCGCCTACTTATCTCCAATGATTTATTTTACCTCGACGTCCTTCGAATTTCGAGCCTCCGCCTCTCTCTTTCCTTCCACTTCCTAAACGGCGAACGATTTATCTCGAGATCGTGTGGAACGTGCCCAAGCGAAAGTGAGAATAATACGGAGACTTTCGTTCGATCGAAGGCTACGACCTTGGACAAGGTCGCTGTAACGATTTCAAGCAAGAGCGAAGAAAAACGACGAGAACAAGCGAATCCTGTTTGATGACTGCACCTTCAAGGCGATTGGGTTATGGATCCCGGTAGAATTTATTGAACGCAATAGCAAAAAGGACAACTGGTTCTCAACACGTGTCCCGATCTCTATTTTTTTTGCATCGAGTAGCCGTTTAACGATCCTGACATCCCACTTGGAATCCAGGCTTTTAATCCATCAATCGAAAGTACAGGAATTTTCTGCATCTTTCGTCTTGGTAACTGCCCTTGAAATTTCCTTCAGAGTAGAAAATTAGAAATTGGTTTTAAAATAATTTGAAGGAAGATGGGAACCTTTTTTTTTCTTTTTCGTTTGGAAATTTCCTTCATCCCTTTTTTTTCTGGAGAGAATTATTTCTTTTCTTCGACGTGCTCTTTTTTAGAAATTTCCTCTTTGAGAATTTTAAGAACTTGATTGTTAATTGTAATTTCTGGCTTTAGAAATTCTTTTAAAGTTGAAGATTTTCAGTGCTTTCGTAGGTGTTATTTACCTTTTTACGTTTTAAAAGAGTAAGCAGTTCGCTCAAGAATACTAATTAGGCGAACAGAGATAAGATTGTTATTATTAATTAAAATGAGAAATTACGTCACTGATAAACAGATTTAAAACTGTAAAATGAATTTCACAAAGTAACAATGCATTCAAGAAATATGATACAATGCACAAGAAAATTGAAGACACAAGAAAAATTTCATTTCTAGAAAATAGAATTATATGTGGCAAAAGCAAGGATCAAGGAAAGAAGAATAATATTTTCAACAAACAGGCTGACTCACGTCGACTAACAGATTCAGACGCAATGGAAAAGATGGCTCGAGGTTTCGAACAAGTGAAACACTGTATTATTTGGTAACAGCAGCGTTATCTAGGAGGTATGAGGGTACCACCATTCGATAAGTGGAGTCCTATCTGCGAGAAGCGTTATATATTCAGACTCGTGGTTGCGGAAACGTTCCACACAGTTGCATTTCAATTATTCCTTCTCGTGGATACTTTGTTAAACTCTCTCAAACGTGTTCTTTCTCGACGGTGGTTCGGAATTGTCTAGGAAATCGATTTTCGAAACGATGTCGTCCGTCTTGCTCGTGATTTTAGCGGTAAGACACGTTGATCAGTTCCTTATGCACAAATGAAAATATTACTTTTCATTTCGAAGGGTTCAATATTCATTTTATACTAGAATAAGTCCTCGTAACGATTAGCATAAGAATTTTCGTCAGGACTTTTCGTCATTCGAATTTGTGAATCAAATTGGTAAATGTCAAATATTTTATATTTGCAATAATTGAAAATTTTTAGTAGGTGTTTGACAAAATTCTTATTGAATTTCCGGCGAATTAATTTTGATCTTTATTTCAATTTTTCTTTCTCCAATCTTTCTAATACGTGAATCTACGTTGCTCTGTATATTATAAAAAAATTAGCAGCTAAAAATGTGAATCTCTTTTCGTAACACTTAGTAATTATAATTCTACGATCATATAAGATAATAGATAATTCTAATCAAAGTATTGTAGTGCTGATATTAGTGCAAATTATTTTTCTGTCCTTTTCTGTCAGATTATCGGAACGTATGCGAACCCTGCATTTCGATCCAACGATTCGATCAATAAAATCGATCAAGATACACCGAAAGAAGAAAACATCGCGAATGAAAGTTCTAGTGTTACACCAGTTTTCGAACAAGTGATAGCTCAAAATGTAAGTATCAAAGATAATGATTAGTCATTCGAGTAATATGGACTTAAAACGCGTGGAATTGACAAACGATGTCAACGATTTGCCTTCACCTTGAGATCGAGAATCCTGCGAAGTCGATAAAAAATGAAACGAAGGTGTCTTCCCCAATTTCTCAATTGGCTCAGGTAGTGGAGAATTCGATAAGGAACGGTTCATTTGTCACGGGAAAAAATCGTTTGAGCTCTAATCGATACAGATCGTCATCTGAGCACTCTGAAGATTCAAGTCTATAGTAATGTATATAAAATCGGTTTTGTGTATTTTAATAAATCAACGTACATTAGGTATCGTTGATTTCCACAAAATTTCGTAAATTTGTCAGCTGTTAAAAAAAAAAAGAAAAAGAAAAAAACTGTTTAATCAGTGAAGATGTAATTTTCAAATACGCCATTCCGATAAACAAATTTTTCAACCCTCCGTTAATTTTCAGTCCGACACTAGCACCACGTCAAAACCGAGCCTACTCGCCTGGTTTCTCGCGCCACTGACTCAGAATCTTCAAATCAATCCTCAAACACTCCAGAACCGTGTTACCCAGCTGAAGGAAGCACTGAGCAATCTTGGATTTCGAAATCCCAACGAAATTTCGAAAGGGAAGCAGTTAAATAACGCAAACAATTTACTACAAGTCACGAGTGTGACCGACTCTGGATTCTATACCGACAGACTGGAGCCAGCTGGATTTTTCGGTGGAAATGGTTGGCTGGCGAATAAGGGTGGAATCTTAGGCGGACCAGGAGCGATTCTTTCTACTGGTAGTCTCCTCACGGACTATCCAACCGCGTATAAAAAGAAATAGACAAATTTTCGAAGGAATTATTGAATCAGCACGTAAGAAAGGAAAGATTGTTCTATTCTTTGTTTCGAAAGGATTTTTAAAAATTTTATTTTAATATACCATTACGAAAATACCAAATAAATTATTCATAATAATTACTGCTTCCCAAATTTTTATTTGGAGTAAATAGCGAATCTTTGTTTTATAAATAAATGAAAGAGAAAGTTAAAGGGAAACGTTTAATATTAGACGAGATTAACTGATACTCCTCCAATCGGCGAAACATGATGGAGGAAATAAAACGAGAGGAATAAAGGTATTGAGAGCAAATAAACTAACAATAAGTAGATAATTCCGGTGGAACGTGTACCGGAGAAAAAAGTGGAAATTCCTTTGATATCATCGTGTCGTAATTCGACGATGGAAACTATGGAGAAAGCTTTATATAAATAAGCAGCTTTCCAGAAACAAAAAAAAACTCTTCTTCTCCGATGACATGGAATTCTTTTTGTAAGTTCAATAATTTTTGAATATTATTTGACAGTCACATCAGTCTCTATAATAAGTGATTGGGAAGAGATTGTTTTACAATTCTTGAGAAGATTGATTTATACATATTATAATACAGAATAACAAAAAGCATATACGTAAATGTATAAAGTAAAGTACATGTTCTTATTTTTCAATAAAGTATGTTATTATTAGACTTTGTGTTCTATCTTACTAATAAGACTTGTCAAAACTTTTCGTAACCACTGCAACAGATTATATAACAGTGCTAATAAAATTTAAGTACTGCATCAACACGCGTAAAATATTCGTAAAAAGTGTCTTACAAAATTTCGAATACTTTCGCACTATCGTAACTGTGTGGTTTCAATGAATTGTCAAAGAAATCAAGACATCGAACAAATGAAAAGGAAATAAAATTCTACGTTGCTCATCAGTGTACAAGTTTTCATCATCTTTTCAAAGTTCAAAGGGATTGAACAAATTCAAGCTTCTCTTATATATGTATATATTAAACAGCGTGTCTTTAGGGTGGGGGAAGCGCGCGGAAGTGGGGGTAGAGCAAAGCGACTTTCGCTTTGGAGCAGCAGTCGAGGCTCGTCCATTGACGGAGCAACGTTCGTTGTTGTGATTGTCGATGCAAACAACGTGTTTACCAATAATCGCGAAACGAAACGTAACTCAACTCGATCGTAATCGTGCTACGCTCCATGAAAACCGATACTTCGACGTTTCTTTGACGTTACTTTGATATTTTAACTGGAAGTTTCTCCGCAATCGCGTGTGTTTTGTTTGTTTGATGTTTCGTTGGAACAGAGACTTCGATTGATCGACCGTGCTTTTTAAACGTGATTCGCTTCCTTTTTGATCGAAGAAAGAGAGAAGAAGGGACTGGTCTCGTTGATCCAGTGGAAAGAAGGATAAAAGGAAAACAGTGTGCGCGACACCGAAGCGTATCGCAATTGGTAAGCGAACACGTTTGATTTTATATTTGGCTATGTGTTTGTTATTATTCTGTCGGAATATCTTGCCACGTGCCTCAAGCACCGTGTTGATGTTAATAAGAACAGACGATGCTGTTATATCGACGCGGGAACGTAAGGATTATGTGTTGCCGGTTTGATTTGAAAATGTAGGCAATATGGCGGCTGACGAAAACGCGCGTCTTTCTGGCGCGTTTGAATTTGGTTAGTTAAACTCGGACCCGCTAGGGGGACGAGTTTACTACGAACTCAAATTATTGAAGGTAGGAATATGATTCTTCTAGATTTTCTTTAAAGATAATGATTTACATTTATCGTAAATAATAAAATTCTTAAATTGCATATGAATTTTATTTTATAATAGACTATACTAAGTCTTCGTAGAATTTTAAACTAATTTTAGAATATCCGAATAGAATATTATAGCTATCTCTTTCGAATGAAAAAAGAATGAAAACCCACTAACATACAATTCTTTCTTTCTATTACAGATCCAAGATGACGGATTCCATCATGTTTCTCTGAAATAAATCTTCAGTCCTACTCGAGAAAACAAGTATCTACCATGTGAATCCATCAGAACAACTTTAATGTTGAAAGCTTGCCATTTCGAAGACTTTACCATGTGCTTGCAAGAAACAAAATGTTCCATGTATTTCCAATGCCAATACGAAATATGTATATTTCGAAAATTTTTTAAATCTAAAGACATCCCAACGATCCTAATTCTGAAATTCCAAAATCTCGGAGAACGTTGAGAAAACATTGGTAAACATGACATGAAAGAGAAATTGAAATTAAGAGTATCGAGAAAACAATTGCGTCGAATTTCGTGTGTTTCAGTTATGCGACATATCGTCGAAGTGACACTGTACTGTTTGGTGAGTGGAAGAATCCCTTGGGATGGCGTTGGAAATATAATTGGCGTGCAAGCGGCGATACGCAACGAACCGCTAAAATTTCCGGAAAAGCCGGTCATTTCGAAAGATCTTCGCGATTTGATCTCGAGGATGCTGAACAAGAATTCGCTCGAGAGAATCACGTTGTCAGAGATCAAGAACACACCTGGCTGACAAATTATGGCGTTGAACCACTGCCAAGCGAAGCTGATAATTGTCAACTTCCGGTTACCGTTACGGACGAAGAAGTGGAACGAGTTGTCACGAAGATATCTAAGCTCGTCTCGCTGATTCTTGTCAAAACAATGCTGAGACAGTACAGCTTTCATGTAAGTGGAATTCTTTTCTTTAAAATGATGCCAAATTTAATATTAAAGTATTAATTATAAGAAGTATAATTATATTGAAGAAGAATCAAAGTATTTTTAATTAATTTAATTCAATAATTGATAATGAATTTTAAAACAATTTTTAAATGATATTACTGATAACAAAATTTTTTTTCGAAAATATTTCAAAAGTCTATCTAATTTATTTCTAATATAGCATAAATATTTTTCGTGAAAATTGTTAATGATCATTGTTATACAAATTTTCTAACTAACGAAGAATTATTTTCTGATTCTTCTTTCCTGTCAAGAATCCTTTTCTATCAAAGAAAACTTGGAAAACAACGAGTAGCGGAAAGACGTTGTCAGAAGAGAAGATTGTAAAAAATGCAATGTGGAAAAGATTTCCAAGAACAAACAGAAGTTCACGTCGAGTCCTCACAATTAGCAAACAAATCGCAAGTAAATAGTTTGAATAGCCCAATTTTTCGACGATTTCTTGCAATTATTACCTTTCCCTGTGTGTTCTGAAAAATTTTCAGACAAACATCCGTAAGCAGTCCTCCATTTCCAGTGATGGAACCGCCAAATCGAGAAACAGATGTGGAGGAACGTCTTGAGAAATTCTAACTTCAAAACGTAAGATCCTTTCTTCTAACTTGTATTAACTAACTAAGTCGCGGAAAAAAATTTGACGTGGTCTGCGGGAAATTATTTGTCGCGACCACCACATTTCATATTTCGATTTTACATTTCTGGATCGATGGTGATCTATTAAGATAATTTGATTTTGATTTTCAAGTATTTTTGTGTTCATACTGCCCTTATATATAATAATACAAGAATCTCTTCGAGTTAAGTATAAGAAATAAACGAATTGTGAATGAAGTAACATTAAGGATTATTTTCCATCTGGACGGTTTAGTTTTGACCCAGTTTTTTCGAAACTCTTGTTCCCCTCAATGGATTCAATATGATAGAGAGATTAGTCAAGGTTAAACCGAATTTTGTGGCGTTTTTTTTAATAAACTCTACCAATTTTCTCAGAAATCGCGCTGTAGTAGTCGTAACAAATAATTTCCTTCTATTCTTTATATAAAGAAAAGAATTTAAGTCTTGCAAATGGTGCAAGTGATCTCAACCAAAGTTAGATTCGTGATTTTGTGTTAAATCTGAGGACCATAAACGCGAATTTGAATTTAATACGTTCACAAATTCTGATCTCTCTCCAAACAACACGTTCACAAATTCTGAACTCTCTCCAAACATCACGTTCATAAATTCTGATCTCTCTCCAAACAACACGTTCACAAATTCTGACCTCTCTCCAAACAACGAATGTCTATCCACCATTTGTTAGTAATAACTAGCGGTGGATAGACACTCGTTTTCCAGTTTTATTAACATTTATCGGTAGACTGTGAATTTTTATCCATTTACGGGGAATTTCAACCTACACAGATTGCACGTGACATTCAAAAGTATATAAAGCATCCGACATTAATTATTTGTTGCAATATTTAGTAAATAAAACAATTTATTACTTAGGTTCCGTTTTTTTTTTTTTTTTTTTTTTTTTTTTTTTGAATTAAATTTGTAATGCGACATGAATTTGCACAAATATTCACAGTTTATTGGGAACTAATGGTGGCTACAAGGTCAAGAAACATGATGCCATTAGATCGTCTACCGATGAATAATATTTAATTTATTGACAGATTTATTTGGAACAACCTGTGGCACAGGATGCTTTTTACAGATAAGTAATATTACTTAAAATTATAAAATATTCCCTTTAATGAAATTGGTCGACATATAAGGCGCAAGATGGCTGATATTTGACAGCAGGTCGCGCTGTAATTTGAGGTGAGAAGGTATAAAAAGACGTGCGATGCATCGGTAAGCCTGCATCTAATTGTTACTAGTGTATCATACGTATTATATATGTGCCATATGTGTATAACAAAAAGACAAGACTCTTATATCTATTTATTCTGATGGTATGTAATATTTCGAATTAAAGAATTTCATCGAATCATACTCTAAACATAATTTAATGTACTCAATTTCAATGGATTGAAGCTTGAGTTTTTTCCCTTGCATTGCTTTTATTCTAAAGAACTTTCAGAACTTCACTATGAAGCTCGTGATATTACAAAAAATAAAAAGAAAAGAATTTCCTTCTCGAGCTTGAAGAATTCTTAGCGTCTAAAGATTTATAAAAACTTCAGATTCCAGCTGAAGATGCTCACAAATTTTCCACCGATCTCGAATAAAAATATTACGTACCTCCAGAAATATTTTTCAAACCTTCGTCGATAAAGATCTACGAAACGTTGTTTAGTGGCTCAGATTTATCCACAATCGTCGTGCACGATATAATGGATGCATCTCGCGCGTTAGGAATATTCTCACAGGGCATCTTGTATCTCGTATTAGACGTGCACTATGTTTCTTAATCTACACGTAACGGAAGTACAATTAATCGTATCGCGTGCGAAACTGGCCCTCAATTGGCAATCAGTTTCATTTAACGAGTCAAACTATCTAACAGAAGCGAACCATCTGAAAGTCTTACTTATTCTGAATAGAGCAAAAATCTGAAAACGTGAACGTTCGATTCGAAACGATCGTGACAAATTGACCAATTGAGGGGCTCGATTGTCAAAAAGGTGATGGACAATTAACGTGAAGCGAGGCAAAAATCGAAAGTTGGTGTCTTTTTTTTTTTTCGACTAATGCACTGATCTTCTCGACGATCAATCTTACAGACGATTTTGCTTCGTTGTCTTTTAATAGACGAAGAATTAAAAAAGAGTGAAAGGAGACACGATTAAACTCTAAGGACTCTACCAAAAGTAATACTTTTTTTGATAGTGTTTTGGTAGATTATATACAGATTATATACAGTGACCATAAAAAAGGCAATCAGTTAATTTTACAGATGTACAACTTTTAAATCGCAGCGGATTTCTCAGTTAAACCTTGCATTCATCAAGTCGGATTTCTCGACGTGCCTCTTAAAGCGAAGTTCAGTAAAAAAGACGATAAGTCGATGAATCGATGGTGATTACGTTTAGTTGCCTACTGTCATAAAATTGGCCAACGAAGACGAGCGAGGGATGAACTGTGTACCCAATGTACTTTATCGATGTTTATTCTCATTTGGTAAATTGAATCGTGAATCGTGTATGACTCTCTTTTGCTATTGGCTCGAATCTCTCGTTGTTGTCATTGTCGTTGTCGATAGGTTCCTATCAATTAGTTTCGTCTGGGCTACGGAGTTCATATTGCGAGATAAAAAAATTCTCGTAGGTACTCATAAATTAACTACATTTTACACTTTGTGGGGATTATTTGATTTAGATTTTTTTTTTTTTTTGACATTTTGTTCTCACATTCTTACATTAATGGGAAAGAATGGAATTATTGGATGGTGTGGGATGTAGGAATAAAATCCAGAATATAGAACATAGAATACGAGACAAGTTAACATTGAATATGAAAAATGTACAGGGTATGGAATACGAAATGTGGTTTGTGGGAGTGCGAGGATATGAAATGTGGAATATAAGACACTGAATATGGAATGT